TCCTGTCCTTCTCGTCTAACACATGTGGATGAAAAGCATTACATGATGCTTGCTGTACGTATCTCCAGATACGAGTGGCCTCCAGACCTGGGTTCAGAGGGATCAGCATGGGGAGTGGAGGGGCCACTGGGCGGGACTGTGGTCATGGTCCAACTCTGTTACAACTCCACTCCTCCTTCCGGGGCCTCAGTGGGCCTCCCCTACAGAATGGGTGGGGTTGCCTCTGCCCTCACTCCCCGGACTCTGGGGAAGCCAACAAGTATGTTATAGTAAAGGCTATTGCTGCTGGAGTCACTGATCCTTCACAAGGGCACTGCCAGCCCCAGGACACCCCACCCACAGCCAAGCCAAGGGCTCTTCTGCCTCTGCCCCATCTGGGGCCTGCTCAGCTCTACCCACTATCTCTAAATGGCCCTTCTTCCTTCCCAGCACCTGGGATATCAGGGGAGATGACACAGATGAGATTACCTATCTCAGAAGCTAAAGCATAACCCAAACCCAAACCAAATCAAGACACTTCACCATACCTGGCAAAGTACAGTGTATTTCCCATCCTACGGAGATCTATCTGGTTACCGTGCTTGGACTGAGGCTACAAGTTTTGCTGACAGGTCACCAATGGAAAGCATGATTGGCTCCAAATTGGAACACAAGACAGCCTTTGACTGAAGGAAACAAACATGGGCTCTAAGGGGTCCAGCACAGCTTTTCTCTGAGCCTCTGAGCCCCGTTGTATAGTTTTTGCACTATACTACAGCACCAGACCAAGGGGCAGTGGGGACTGAAATTCACTTTGCCTGCCAAATGGAACAACCACAGAGCTGTGTGTGCCTTCAGGAGGCCCCCTTTAAAAGCTAAGCAAAGACCCCCCCACACACACACACACACATCTGCCCACGGAGCCTGTCCCCCTTTCTGACTGATGATGGTCCCAGAGAGAATATTTTGGAGCCAATGCGGGCAAGAGATAGCATAAAGATGCAGGTCAGTGAGAAATGTGGTTCTGGGCCAAATGATGGGCACCCAGCCGAGACCCAAATGCTACTTGGCAGCAGCTCTTGGTGAAATTGCACAGGATTCACAGCAGGAGAGAAGGAAAGAGATAAAGTCCAAGATAACACTGACCTCAGAGTATTAGGGCCAGGAGGACTCTGGGGTCACCTCAGTACATCATTTTCAGAGGTGTTTGGTTTTCTTGGTTCCTTTTCATTTCTTTATTTCATTTTTATTTACTTTTTAAAAGATTTTATTTAGTTATTCATGAGAGACACACAGAGAGGCAGAGACACAGGCAGAGAGAGAAGCAGGCTTCCTGAGGGGAGCCTGATGTGGGACTTGATCCCAGGACTCTGGGATCATGACCTGAGCTGAAGCTAGATGCTCAACCACTGAGCCACCCAGGCATCCCTCATTTTTATCTTTAGTAATACAGTCCTTTTCCCAAAGAAAATTAAAACAGACAAGGAAAGAATTGGATTTCCTTGTTTGTTTTATTCTGGAGAGACGGAAACCCAGAGTTCTGCCCAACTTGACCCTGGCACTTCCCTCCAAGCCCTAGGGCTCCCCAGGACACGGTGTAGAAAACATTCACCTAATCCAGCTCCCTTTCCTCAGTGGTGATAAAGAAAGTGATGTGACTTGCCCAAGGTCCACGGGGCATGGAAGGCAGAGGTAAGCTTACACCTCCATGACCCAGGAGCCTGGCCCTGTTCCTTCCCATATAGCAAAAAGGCAGACCCTCAGGCTCCTTGGCAATTGAATCTTCAAGGCAGCTAGGTCTGGGTCCCTGCCCACAGGTAAGACCTGTCTTTCCCCTAGGTTATCATTCCCAGCCACTTAAATCCCTCATCTGGTTCTGCCCTCTCCACAATGGAGCCAGAATCTAGAATCTGAGAGGTGGCAGGGCTGAAGAAAGTGAGAGCATTGGAGATTTACCAAACATGCTGGGAGAAAGAGCTGCAGGAGGAACCTGGAGAACTGTCCTAGGACCCAGTGTCTCCCTGGGCTCAGTAAGAAGGCTCCATTCAAGGTGGATGACCTCCTGTTAGCACAGAGGGTGACAGGTCAGGCCAGCCACTGGTCAGGGGTGAGGGAGCAGGGACAAGACCATGCGGTCCTGCAAACTCTCAGCACCCTGGACAAGGACAATCCCCCCACTGGCCTTCCACTCCTACCCTGCCCCAGTCTCTTCCCAGGGAGGGACCCAAGACCTCCATTGCCTGCTTTCTCCAGGCCCTCCGAGCAGGATGCATATCACAGAGAATCTCCTGTTCCTGAGCGTGGTCTCCCTCCAGGCTACATGTAGCCTTCTCTTCTAAAGCACTCTTGGTGCACATGGAACTTTTTCCAGAATAGACCACATACTGAGTCACAAATCAGGTTTTAGCTGATACCAAGAGATTGGGATTATGCCCTGCATATTTTCAGACCACAATGTTTTGAAACTAGAACTCAATCACAAGAAGAAATTTGGAAGAAACTCAAACACGTGGAAGTTAAAGAACATCCTACTAAAAGATGAATGAGTCAACCAGGAAATTAGAGAAGAATTAAAGAGAAACTAATGGAAACTAATGAAAATGAAGATACAACTGTTCAAAATCTTTGGGATACAGCAAAAGCTGTCCTAAGAGGGAAATACATCGCCATACAAGCATCCCTCAAAAAATTGGAAAAAACCCAAATACACAAGCTAACCTCCCACCTAAAGGAACTGGAGAAAGAACAGCAAATAAAACCTACACCAAGCAGAAGAAGAGAGATAATAAAGATCTGAGCAGAACTCAATGAAATAGAGACCAGAAGAACTGTGGAACAGATCAACAAAACCAGGAGTTCGTTCTTTGAAAGAATTAATAAGATAGATAAACCATTAGCCAGCCTTATTAAAAAGAAAAAAGACTCAAATTAATAAAATCATGAATGAAAGAGGAGAGATCACAACCAATACCAAGGAAATACAAACGATTTTAAAAACATATTATGAGCAGCTCTACACCAATAAATTAGGCAATCTCGAAGAAATGGATGCATTTCTGGAAAACCACAGATTACCAAAGCTGGAACAGGAAGAAATAGAAAACCTGAACAGGCCAATAACCAGAGAAGAAATTGAAGCAGTCATCAAAACCCTCCCAAGACACAAAGTCCAGGGCCAGATGGCTTCCCAGGGGAATTCTATCAAACTTTTAAGGAAGAAATAATACCTATTCTACTAAAGCTGTTCCAAAGGATAGAAAATGATGGAATACTTCCAAACTCATTTTGTGAGGCTAGCAACACCTTAATTCCAAAACCAGACAAAGATCCCACCAAAAAGGAGAATTATAGACCAATATCCCTGATGAACACAGATGCAAAAATTCTCAACAAGATACTAGCCAATAGGATCCAACAGTACATTAAGATTATTCACCATGACCAAGTGGGATTTATCCCCAGGATGCAAGGTTGGTTCAACACTCCTAAAACAATCAATGTGATAGATCATATCAACGAAAGAGAAAACAAGAACCATGACATTTCACCAAAGAAGACATACTCATGGGAGATCCCTGGATGGCTCAGCAGTTTAGTGTTTACCTTCTGCCCAGGGCATGATCCTGGAGTCCTGGGATTGGGTCCGACATTGGGCTCCCTACATGGAGCCTACTTCTCCCTCTGCCTGTGTCTCTGCCTCTCTCTCTCTCTGTGTCTCTCATGAATAAATTAAAAAAAAACTTAAAAAAAAAGAAGAAGACAGGGATCCCTGGGTGGCGCAGCGGTTTGGCGCCTGCCTTTGGCCCAGGGCGCGATCCTGGAGACCCGGGATCGAATCCCACGTCGGGCTCCCGATGCATGGAGCCTGCTTCTCCCTCTGCCTGTGTCTCTGCCTCTCTCTCTCTCACTGTGTGACTATCATAAATAAATAAAAATTAAAAAAAAAAAAGAAGAAGAAGACATACACATGGCCAACTAGCACATGAGAAAATGCTCCACATCACTTGCCATCAGGGAAATACAAATCAATACCACGATGAGATACCACCTCACCCCAGTGAGAATGGGGGAAATTAACAAGACAGAAAACAACAATGTTGGAGAAGGGGCAACCCTCTTGCACTGTTGGTGGGAATGTGAATGGTGCAGCCACTCTGGAAAACTGTGTGGGGGTTCCTCAAAGAGTTAAAAATAGAGCTACCCTATATGCACTGCTGGGGATTTACCCCAAAGATACAGATGCAGTGAAAAGCCGAGACACCTGCACCCCAATGTTTATAGCAGCCATGTTCACAATAGCCACACTATGGAAGGAGCCTCGGTGTCCATCGACAGATGAATGGATAAAGAAAGATGAATGGTCTATGTATACAGTGAAATATTCTTCAGCCATTAGAAATGACGAATACCTACCATTTGTTTCGACGTGATTGGAACTGGAGGGTATTATGCTGAGTGAAGTAAGTCAGTCAGAGAAGGACAATCATCATATGGTCTCACTCATATGGGGAATATAAAAAATAGTGAAAGGGATTATAGGGGAAAGGAGAGAAAATGAGTGGGAAAAATCAGAGAGGGTGACAAAACACGAGAGACTCCTAACTCTGGGAAATGAACAAGGGGTATTGGAAGGGGAGGTGGGTAGGGGGATGGGGTGACTGGGTGACGGGCACTGAGGGGGGCACCTACGGGATGAGCATATGGGTGTTATACTATATGTTGGCAAATCGAACTCCAATAAAAAAATACACACACACACAAAGCACCCTTGGTTAGCTCACATCTCCACACCTCACCGGTAAGTCCCTTTTCCCACCCCAAGAGTTTGCAGGGAATGTGCCGTTGGACCAGTCGTGACTTCATGGCTGCTTCTACCATGAGCTGCCTTCTGGGAGCTGGGAGCAGCATCTGTTGCTCCTTTGATCTTCAATTCCAGTGTGGCCTCTGTTGTCCTCCGAAGCCTCCCACCCCAGAACACCAGCAACACAGCCAGGCCATCGCTTCGCTCTCATGTGCATTTATTGAGTGCCAACAGAGTGCGTGGTACTATGCTCAGGGTTCAGAGCCACAGTCTAGTCAAAAGGAGACCAGAGCTAGTACAGAGAACATTTCATAGTTGCTTAACATCTGTAGGGGGTGGGGAAGGGGGAGAACTAATCACAAAACAAATTCCTATTTGAAAGCAACAGAATCTCCTCTGAGAGTAATAGATATTCTACGCACACGCACGCACGCACACACACACACACACACACACACACACACACACCCTGAATGAACACAGAAATATACCCATATACAGGTATTGTGGGTAAAGAAACTAATATATATGCTGTGCACGTACACACACGCACACGCACGCGCACACACACACGCACACACCACCTCACAGATAGGTAATCTGGCTTATGCTATCAAAGACACTATGTCTCCAGGTTCTAGTGAAGCAATCTGTCCTAGATGCCTGCAGCATGCAAAACTTGGAAGTTCCGGAGGTTCACAGTTAAGGAGGACAACGGGTATACATGTGTACTTTTCCATCCTCGGGGTCCCAGCCACAGCACTGGAGGTTGCTCTTTGTCGGCGACAACAAAGCCTCTGTGAAGGGCTCCCAGAGCAGAGCTGAGGAGCTGGAGGCTCTCTGTCCAGTGGCAGGGCTCACGGGAGCCCTGGTGAGTTCACCAATCTTCAAGGCAGAATTTAAAACTCTGGTTTTCGAGTGTGTAGTCCTGCAAACGGTATTCCTTGTGACAGAGCCGCAGATCGAGGTAAGAGTTTCTCTTCTTGCTCGCTCTCTGCAGCTTCCCACATGTGCTAACGCATTTTGTAGTCATTAGATACAGATGTTTCACACAGCTGTCCCTTAAAATCCAAATCTACCGTGAAATCGAGGTCTCGCTGCAAAGAAGGAGCAAAGGGTCCCGGCATTAGTGCGGTAGCAACGCAGGCACCACCCACTCCTGCAGGCAGAGGGATGGGTAACTACCGTGTTTCTAAGGTTTTCTAGCCAAGGGGTTCCCACGAACAGCCCTCAGGAATCTATTCTGGTGTCTCATTATCCTCACAGGAAGTTCTTTGATTTCTAACCTAAACCCTTCCTGTTATAATATAGAAATGTTCCCTCTGATTTTATCCTGAGAGAAAACAGAGTAGGGTGTTGAGTCTTCTGTGGCACAACCCTCAAAGCATTCTCTAGACTCTTTCAACACACATGTTTGCACCCGCGGTTACTCAAAAAGAATCACACGATCCCCAACCCCCCAGGCCCCACTGAAGAAATGTGAACTGAATATCTTCCAGGCCACCAGAAGCTGCTATTTCCTGGCTGGGCTTGTTCTAAATGAGCTGAAACCCACGACAACCGCCTCTGTGTTCAAAGCCCCTCTGATGAAGAATTGGAAGCTGTCCTCAAGGCTCAGAGTCCAGAGTGGGGTCTATGGAAAAATCTATCACCCTTGAGTTTTAAGGTGCCACGGCTAGAGGCCTTCAACAACACCCAGTCAGATCTAAACCTGGCTTTCTAACTGCTCCTCCCCTGGGACCTTGTCTGGTTGTACACAAGGCACCTGGGCACCTGGGTGAGGGGGTCCTGGGAGCTCCCAGGAGTCAGTTCCATGGGTACCTTTCTCTCTCTGACCCCAGCCCAGGCAGAGACTGCCTCAGTACTCACAACATTTTTGGCATTTGGCTTCATGGATATGGTCCCATAGATTTCCTCCCCTCTCCGGACAGTGAGGTAATCTTCCAAGTAGAAGACAGTCTGCTTCCAGTGGGTGTAGGGGGCATCGGGGGCTGAGGGGAGAACAGGGAAGTGGGAAGGAAGGGTCAGAGAAGATATCTCCAGAAGAACTGAGACTGAGACCCTGCCTGGAAGTTGCTGGGCTTCTTCTCGGACTCACTGAACCAACTCCCAGCACTCTTGCAGGGTCAATGCCTAGCCCCTGTAGTCTGCCTCCATGCCCTAGGAATCCTCACTCAGCCCCAGTGCTCCTCCTTCCATCAAATTCCCATCTCCTCAAGGCTGCTGATTTTAGTAGGGAATCAGAAGATAAAGTTGCTCATAATATAAGTTCACCAAGGGGGTGGGATGAATACCCTCTCACCAACTAAACTCATTAACACAAATGAAACTCAAAATGCTGCTGTTTTTTTAAATTAGTTCAACAGAGTGAAGATGTTCAGACAGTTTAAAGGGGAGATTTGTAGAGTAGGGCCATCCTGTCTCCCTTTAAATGACATCATGTATGCAAATTCCATAGCTAAACCGGTGTCCCACTGATACCCACAGCCTACACATCGCTTTCCCAGCCACTTCTCAGCCCTAGAACCAAACCTAGAACACTTGGCCCAAGCCTACTGTGGGGTCCTCCAAACTGGATCAAAAAGAAATGAGGGTGCCTGTGTGGCTCAGTCAGTTGAGTCTCTGGCTCTTGATTTCAGCTCAGGTCATGATCTCAGGGTCATGAGATGGAGCCTCACATCAGGCTCCATGCTCAGCGAGGAGTCTGCTTGAGATTCTCTCCTTCCTTCTCCGTCTGCCCCTTCCCCTGCCCCACTCATTCACATGTGCATGCTCTCTCTCTCTCAAATAAATAGAAAAATCTTTAAAAAAGGAAATAAGGGATAATTCTCATCCAAGAACCCCACTACTGGTCCACAGCTCACTCTTTCTGTATGATCCAAAGCTGCATGGATGCTGGCACACCCCCTTCATATTTGCCATTAAATTCCATCCAGACTCTCTCGGCACACTACATGTTCTACAGTCAAATGATGGGTCCTACTTATGGGCCATCTTCCTCAGCACCAATTGTCTTTGGTATATTCTTCCCTCCCTGTTCAGCAGGCTTCCTCTTCCTCATCCTTCAGAGTCACTTTCTCTGAGAAGCTTTGCCTGAAGATCCACCCTGAGCTTATGCTACCATAGTGCCTATCACACTGTAGCATAAATGCCTTTGTCTTTTTTCAGCTGTTTGCTTTCTCCACGAGACTGAAATTTCCATGAGGACAGGCACCATGCCAAGCTTGTTTACTGTGATATCCTCAGTGTCTACCACCACACTTGCTAGATCTGTAAGTATTGAATAAACGAACAATGGCAAAAACCCAAATAGTAGACACTTTGTTATGCTTCAAGGTACCCAGAGATGTTCAATTACGTTGGAGACTTTGAAAACTATAGCTAGTAGAAGAACCCATTATAGTAAGTTCCTCTTGGCCCTTTAGGATCTTACCTTCCTCCACCTGGATGCAGGACTCAATACTTATTTTCTCTTTGCTTAGGACCAGAGCTAAAAATGAGAAGACTTGGGAGAATATAGTAAGTGCCTTTCAAATACTTCAAAATCTGTCACATGTAAAGACTTACATGTGGCCTTACAAAAGGCATTAGAGGTAGAACAAAGAGTCACTGGGAATTACTAGAAGGTAGATTTTTAATTCATCAGGAAAAAGCTGTTCCACATTTGTCTGAGCTACTAGAAGTCCAGCCTCCAGGTGTTCCTATAACAACCACTGACTGGGAATTCATCATGTGCTGAGTCAGACCAGGTCATCTCTAAGATCTTACAAACCCCAAGATCTATTTAAATGGTAGTGAAGAATCTGTCCTCACCATTTGCAATGAACTAGCTTGATCAAATGTTAGTGGTTTGGTTAAGGACTTGCATAGCCTTCAATGTGTGCATTTGGGAAATCAATTGAAATTCAAGGTCATGGCCAGGAAAAAGCAGTCTGAGTATTTGGAAAAGCTCAAAGGAGGATCATGAATGTGCAGTCTATGCCTCTCAGATCCTAGATCCCTAAACATATCCCGCCTTCATGGCCTCTAAGGCATACCGCTGTCTAGAAAGTCCATCTGTCCCAGCACCTTCCCTGCCAACTACACCTAAATAAATTGTCAAAAGATAGTCTCTGGTGTGTGCAGAGAATGGCAGTGTATGACTGACAGCACTCTTCCCTCTACTTCCTCCTACGCCACTCAGACAGGTGTCTCTCCTGTTCTTAAAGATCTTCAGGCAAGGAGATTCAAGCATCTTCCTTCTGTCACCTAACCAGATGCCTTAGGAGAGTCCCAGAGATTTCACTGGCTCAGGTTTGGCAGGCATCAAGCCTAGGGGTGCCTGATGGTGGTCCAAAAAATATGCCAGCCTTGGGTTTGAGGAAATTGACTTTTTTTCCTTTGCCATCAACATCAAAAGTTTGAGAACCTCCCCAAAAGGTTCATTTCTGTGATGGGTCCATTAGTCGTGGACAAATTGTCTAAACCAACTTTTACAATACTAATTCTCCATTGAGGTGTCCAGGAAAAACTGATTAAAATTCAGATGTCTTGACTCTACTCCAGGAGACTTGAATTTAGTCATTGTGGGGGATGTGAAAGGGGGCAGACTTGTCAAGACATAAAAATCCCCCCCCCCAGGTCCTGTAGACACACAGCATGGCTGAAATCACTGTGCAAACACACTCGTTTGCATCTAATAACATCTCTGGGTGGGCAAGAGTGGAAAGGACATTTAATTAGGCAACAACAGGTCCAGTTTCCTGCTTCCACATTGCCATGTGTTTTCCCTATAACCCTGGGGCTCATTTTCTACATCTGCAGAATGTGGGGTGTGATATTTACCTCCCCAGGTACTTTGAGGATTAGATGGGATGACCAGGGGGAAAGGGCATACTAAGGGTGACCAAATCTGCTGTGCCCAGGACAGCTCCATTTTGCTTGTCTTCCTGGTTTAACTATGAACAGCTCTCCTTTTCACTATCAAAAGTGTCCTTAACTGAAAGATCAATTATATGGCCACTCTACCTATGACACATTAGGCCCATGTTAGGGTATTGCTAGGCCATTATAATAAGCCATTATATAATATAATAAGCCATTATAATATAACTCCCATATAATTATCATGGGAAGTGATATATATATATATATATATATATATATATATATATATCAACAGACATCAATTCAGGATGTCTATCATGTGCCACATATGGTCCCGAATTTGGGAAACAGCAACCAATACAGCCTTGCCTCCCCCTCACATCCTGCAGCCTAAGTGAGAAGACACTCAGGTAGCTGGGTTGTTCTCATGACCAAGGACAGGGATGCAGAGCTCAGGGGACAGTAGGAACAAATGGTAAAGACCTCTCACAAGATTTTTTCCTGGTGCTTTCTGAAAGGGAAATCCACTTTCAGAAAATGGAATCCTGCTTCCTGTTTCACTTCTCAGTGGCCAAGTGGATGGTAGCTTTTTCTGAAATTTAGTCCTTTTCCTAGCTATAAATTTCCAATATTCCCCAAGGGGTCAGAAGCTTCTTGGAGAATGAAAGACTACATGCCAAGAAGTTTCTTTGACCTGAGATAATTACTCACTGTCATCGGATGGCAAAGCAGGTAGGGGCTGCTAGGTATCTTGGTCCCATTGCATCATTTCACACATAATGAGCCCAAGGCCCGGAAAGTAACTTACTTAAGGCCCATCTCCTATGTCTGGCCACCCTACTGGCTGACTCCTAGAAAAACTACAAGTCTAACCCAGGTCTGCTTCTACTCCAGCTACTGCTCTTCCACCCACTCCGGCTGCCCCAAGGGACCCAGTTCCCACTTCCTGCCCCTACCCACTGAGGATGTGTCCAAGGACTGGGGAGGCTATGCCCACTGGCTGGCACAGCCTGGATCCCTGGGCTCCTGTGCCCATTTGCAGCAGCTTCTGCCTGGAGCTGCAGAGAGGGGACGTCAGAGCCATTAACAGGGATTGTTTTCAAGCTGCACACAACATGATGTGCTTTTGAGTGGGCCCCCCAGAGCCAGCTGTGGCTGGGCTGAGAAAGAAAGCTTGGCAGGCGATCGATGGGAAGTGGGTACATACAGCAGACTACACTCTGCATGAAGTTCAAAAACAGCTGAGACCAAACAATACAGTGTTCTGACATACATATAGATGTGATAAAACTTTTTTTTAAATAGCAAGGGGATAAAGAACATGAAATTATTCAGCATAATGTTCATCTAGAGGCAACATAGGGGGATGATGAGATGGGATGGAGCATCCATTTAGTTAGGTGGTGAGCTCACAGGGATTAATTATGTGACTGTGAATTAATTTACTTGTTAATTATAAATGGTACCATTATATTAATTAATAATGTACTTCCAGTTAATATTTATATTCTAATTAGTAATAGTTTATTTCTTGATATTAACAAATGTATTTACATTCTAATAACAGTAATACATTTCTTTCTAGTTACTATTGCATGCTAGTTAATAATACTTTATTTACATTCTAGTTACTGACTTAGTGGTGAGTTCACAGATGTTCATTATATGAATAAATAAATAAGCAAAAAGTGAGCTGTGCCTGACTCAATGATATCATGAACCAGGAATTAGGATAATCTAATTCGATGCATCTGAGGGCCTTAAAAACCAAAACCAAATGCTCTTTTCTATGTAGTCAGAGTACAGAGGGTCTGAAAAGGCCACTACCAAACCCACACTACCTGGTAAAGATGTTTGCCACATGCTGGAAGCAAAACCTCCTGTGGATATTCCCCCAGGTGGCTGAGGAAGCGGCTAAACAAGTTATTTCCCCTGATCCCTATGGAGATGCTACAGCAAGAGGGACCTACGCCAGCCAGAAGGTATTGGCCTTGATGAGAAAAGAGGGCATATGATAACAAAGAGATGGAATTCCCTTCCCAGAAAGGCATCAATAGGGGCCAAATTCACAATCACCTTGTTCAGTCCTTTGTGCCAGGGCAGTGGTTCTTGGGCATTTGTGCATCACAGTCACCTAGAGGACTTGGTAAGACACAGGTTTCTGGGCCCCACGCCAGAGTTTCTGGTTCAGAGGGTCTGGGGTAAGTCTTGAGAATTTTCATTGCTAACAAGTTCCCAAGTGATGCTGATGCTGCCAGCCATGGACCACACTTTGAGAACGTCTGTACCAAAGCATGGGAAGTGGAAGACTGTAGGACCTTTGGGTGACTTTTCAGACCCCTATTTCTGGGGTTCTGGGCAAAGAGGAGGCAACAAAGCACCATAGCTGCAAAGAGACAGATCGGTGAGCTCAGACCTTGATCTAGACCCATGGTCTTTGAGCCTATGAAATGCAGACCTTGTCATTTCTCTCATAGGGACTTGTGAGGAACCACAGTGTGGCTGCGACCACAGAGCAGGAAGAAATTGCACCAATAGGTTGGAGACTTTAATGCTGAGGGCAAATCCTCACCATCCCCGAGACAGCCCAGGATCACCTTCTTTGATTCTGAACTAGAGATTAACCAAGCCTTCTTCATGTGGAGGCATCAGGAATGTTGTTCCTGACACCACAGAGCCAGAGAGCCGTCTCTGGACAGGGGTCCAGGCTGTCTGCTTGACCTCAAGAAATGGAAATAAACTCAGGGAAGGGAGAGCTGAGAGTAATGGGCTGAGAGCTATGGGCTGGATCCTAGGCTTTATAGACACAGAACTTTTTCCAGAGGGCCCTCACTACACTTTCTCATCACCTACAGCAGGGCAGGCCCCAGAGGAGTCATCGTCCTGAAGATAGTAGAGGCAGGGCCAGTTGCTATGGCTTCATCCCTGGCTTCCAGTTACAGACATGGTCCTCAGCCCTCCCACTTGCTGCCACTTCTGAGGCTGAGTCTTACCCACCCTTCAAGGTTCAAGTAAAACCTCCCTTCCCCCTCCTGACTATACCTGACTACCAGGGAGACAATCTCACCTGTTGCCCCTCTAAGGAGGGTAGTAGTTGGAAATGACACAGATTGGAGGTCTCTGTTTTTTCCCAAGACAGGGGGTACCAGCACTGGTCTGGATGATAGAGACCAGAATATTGTGGTATTGGTGGTCAGAAGACACCAGTTCTGGGAAAAGCCCTTCTGGGAGGGGTTAGATAAGTCTCTTGCCCCTTCTGTACACAGGTAAAAGAGGATCATTGTCACTGAAATCCTGTGTAGTTGTTAAAAAAAAATATGTTAGCTATGTCTGTGAGTCTGTGGAAGGATCCCCAAGGTACATCTTAAGTAAAGACAAGGTGGCAGAGGGCAGTGTGTTTAGTACAAGCCACCTGTGTTTTAAAAAAAAAGGTGTAGTTTGGATATGGTACTGTACTTACATAAGATGCCACCAATGGGGGAAACACGTAAAGGGTTCGCAGAACTCTGAATTATTTTTGCAACTTCATATGAGAACTATTTCAAATAAAAAGCCAAAAAAAAGGTGTATATAGTTATGCATGTGCTTGTGTACCATTGAAATAATTTGGAAGGATACAAAAGAAATTATTAACATGTGATGCCTCTGAGGCACAGGGCTGGGATGAGTGGGAGCAGGACTTCTTCCTCGACTTTTTATACTACCTCCTCTTTTTTACACCACCTAACTGACTAAATGATGGAAGCCTGGGAGGGCAGGGAGCCCCATGAAGGACGCCTAACTTTGACCAGGAGTTAAGGAGGCCCTCGAGTCATAGCTGAGGTGAGAGATGAGGCCTGTGCTGGAGTTGGCCAGGTGAGGGGCAGGGATGGGGAGGTGCTCGGAGCTGGATGGTGGCCTCCACAATTCATGAGCTGAGGCCCCAAGGCCCTGTCCCTCAGAATATGACTATGTTTGGAGACAGGGCCTTTAAAGAGGCCTTTAAAATAAGGCCTCTGGGTGGACCCTAATCCAGTGTGACTGGTGTCCTTTTAGAAAGAGGAGATTAGGACACACAGAGAGACATCAGGAGTGCACACACACACACACACACACACACACACACACACACAGGAAAGGCCATGCGAGGACACAGAGAAGGAGGCCACCTGCAGGCCAAGAAGAGAGCCTCAGGAGAGACCAAACCTGCTGACATTTCGATCTTCCAGAACTGCGAGAGATAAATTTCTGTAGTTTAAACCACCAGCCTGTAGTGCTTTGTTATGGCAGCCCTAGCAGATGCATCCAGGGAGAAAGGAGATGACAAAAGCCTCTGACAAAAGATCTGCCTGTCCCCGTGGCACACCTGGATGAACAAGGGGTCGGCATGTGCAGAGATCATGGCCTAGGGACTTAAGAAGCCTTGCTAAATTTGGGGACTGCAAGGTGCTCAGTGCGACTGGGCTGTGTGTGCAGTGAAGGAACAGGAGAGGAAGGCCAACCAAAGGAGGGGCAGTGAGAAATGAGGTGATGGAAGCAGACTGGGGCCGGGTCTTACCAGGCTAAGCAATTTGGGTTCTCTATTGCAGGCAGCGAGACACGTCTGAAGCAGAGCTGAGAGGTGGGGGAGCACAGGTGTTCTTGGGGAATAGTGTCAGGAACTTAATGAAGGATGGATTAGGGTGGAAACAGCAAAGAAAGGAACGAGACAGACAGACACAGTCCGTAGCGTATTCAGAGACCTGGGCACGGCACTGAAGATAGGGAAATCTTACTCCACTCTGTATCCTTACCCTTCACACAGAATATGCTCAGTAAATATTAAATGAACAAATGTGCCTTTGAAATGGGGCCTTTCCCCCCTGCCTCTCCCTACCCAACACACACTCTCAGCTTTGGTCATACACACTTTCAAACACACTTTCATCTACCTTTTCATACACACCACATACTCTTTCAGCTTCCTTCTCCTTCAGCAGCCAGATGCATGGGGGAAGTGCTGGAGAAGGCTTATGGGATGCCAAGCAAGAGCCCCTGGCTTAGCCCCAGGTCCTTCCTTCCCCCAGGTGGAGGCCAGCCCCAGTCACTTCTGCAAAGCCTCAGCATGGAAGGTGGGGAGGGTCTGAAGTGAGTGCCCACAAAAGGCTCACCTGTGGAAAACCCCATTTTCTTGTGGCACTTGGTAAATTCAATATTAAAATAGGTGACCAGGGCATGGATGTAGTCATTTCGTTGTATCTGCAGGCAGAAGGCAGATGTGAATGATAGCTCTTCCGTCTTCACTGTGTAAATGTCCACTTCCTGTGGCCCAGAGGAAAGAGAATGCCGACACTTAGCGCCTCCACCAGCTCTGAGTCCTGGTCAGTAGCACTTTCCTTCTCGTGGAAGACCACCAACAGTAGACTCTCTGGGAGTGTCATTACTTTTGGGGTGGCTCCCCAGGCCCACCTACCACCCTCCCAGTGATCTCCTCCATCCTTTCTAGGGTGGGGTATGCTCAGGCAATGGTGCAAATACATTTGAATCAGAATGTGAGGGGGACAGAACTTAGAAGGTCGGTTTTCTGGGGATGAGGGGTTATGGGGGAGAAGGAGGAGAGGGGAGAGGAAGATTGATGAGACAGAGCATTTCTGAGCCCAATCTGAGCAGCCTCAGAGCAGTCCACCTCAACATTGCTCCCTTCACTGGTTCTCAAAGTGCAGTCTGGGATGATGGGCATTAGCATCACCTGGGTGCACATATTTAGTGGGGTGGGGGTGGGGAGGGCATCTCAGACCTATGAATGAAAACAGCAATCTGTGCTTTATCAAGCCTCCCCCATGATTTGTGTGAACCATATTAGTCATTTCTCAAGTTTTTGACATTCAAGTTCCCAGCAACAGGAGACATAAGTATTATCTTGAGACTGAGGACCTGAGCCCACCCAAGGTCACAGACTGAACTGAGGGAAGTTCTGCTTGCCATTTACACCAGGCCTGGATGGAAGAAAGAAAAAGTGAGAGAGAGGGAGGGAAGGAAGGAGAAGGAAGAAAGGGAGGAAAGAAAAAGGAGGAAGAGAGAGAAGGAAGGAAGGAAGGAAGGAAGGAAGGAAGGAGATAAAGAAAGGAAAGAAAGAAAGAAAGAAAGAAAGAAGAAAGAAAGAAGAAAGAAAGAAAGAAAGAAAGAAAGAAAGAAAGAAGAAAGAAAGAAAGAAAGAAAGAAAGAAAGAAAGAAAGAAAGAAAGAAAGAAAGATAGAAAGAAAGAAATAAGAAGTAGGAGTTTTTCAGTTCTGGTCAGGAAATGGAGAACACAAAGAACTAATAATTCTAACAATTTCAGTTGGGAAGTGGCTGAAAATCAATGTTGCGTGGGGAGTAAGTATAATGAAAGACAGTTTGCAATGTGCTGTTCTTTTCTGTGTGAAGGATGCTGTCCTGCTGTTTGCTGGCTCTGATGAGACAGGGCAAACCTCCCAAGAGCCTTAGAGGCATCCAGGCAGCTTTCAGTGAGGTCTAAGGAAGCTTCCCATTGTCAGGGTGAAGACTCTGTAAGAGCCAGATAGGTATCTGTGTGCCTGGACTGGTTCCAAGGGGCTCTCCTGAGGCCCAGATGATGGAGTATGTTGGGGATAATTAGAAGAGGGGTCTGAGAATAGGGATACAAGAGCAGGGAAGACACAGGATGATGTAGCAGAAATGACCTTTATCTCTATATGTATCTAGAATAAATATAGGAAAAGCAGAATCAAAATATCCAGGGCCTTGAAAGAGAAGTCCTGCCTCCACGGGGGTGGACAAAGGAAGAGGTGTGGTCAAAGAAGCAGGTCAGATCAGAGCCCTATTGTGGTCTGTGGTGTGCAGCCATCACACCTTCTGGGGGAAGTTGAAGTTCTGACCTATTAGTTGGAGAGTGGGATTGCAGATTGAGGGGAACGGAGAGCCCCTTGGTGATGTCACCTCAAAGGCCATTTTTGCTGTGCTTCTGGAACCAAGGATGGGGAAGAAGAATCAATGGAATGGGAAGCCCTGGGTTGGGCGTGCAGAATTTGATGGGATTAGAAAGCCACCAGTGTAGCATCCCTGGGAAGTGGCCATCTGGTGCTTGCTTGGACACCTTCATGGATGATGCATTCACTACCTGCCAGGAAGCTGATTCCATTTCCTGACATCTCCAATGGATGGGTCCCTCTTCAAAACGTGTAAGGAAGAGTACACACCAGTCTCTGAAATTTCCACCCATGGAATAAGCCAAACGCCCATTCCAGCTCACACGGGCCCCCTAAACCTTTTCTTCTCTAATGTAAACTCCATCTGGTTTTTCATTCACTTCTCGCAAGTCATGATTTCTGACTCCATCACCTTCCTTGTTTGGGACATACTTTAGCAGTCTCCAATCTTGAAGAACACACTGCTGGCTCAGACAGTACTTGGTTGGCCAAGCCCCTTCCCTCCACGGCATTCTGTTCATGCTCTTTTTTTCCTTTTGTCTTGGGAATTGAGTGTAGGGTCCTCCATTATATGTCATCCTATTAAGTTTGGGCCATGACTCCTTTTTAAACCTGGCACCTGTCAGCCTACATGACATTCATCATCCCACTGGCCACATGTTGCCCATGGTTCCTTCCAGTTCAACAGCTCAGAGCAAGATGTGTTTAACTGTGTCTTTGTTAATGGCATTAGCACAATCCACCAGGCTCACGGTGTCTATACACTCACTGACTACCACCTCCTTTTTAGCCAGGGCCAGGCTCCAGGCTCTTTTTGAGGTACGTGTTATCTTTTTCTCTCAGTCCCTCTGCCTCCAGCCTAGCCTGGTCTTTCCATTGTACTTTTGGCTCACCTCAGCAGGTTGGCCCTCACCATCAGACTGTTGCCCGTTATGGGTCTGTGTACCCTTGCTGTGAAACAGCACCTGACAGCCCTCAGTCTTCCTTTATGGGCCTCCCTTCTCACATCCCCAGGGCTCTTCTCCAAACCAACCCATTAATCCCTCAGATCCATTCAGACTGTACTGTCCTCTGAATCCAAAATCTTCCATGACTCTGTATCACTTACTTAAAGATAGCAGTCCTCTCGGCCTGAGCACAGACAGTGAGCCCTGGAAAGTCGGCTCCGGGACACAGCTAGACCTGGCTCCTTTCTCTGGTCACCCCCCTCATTTCTTCATGACTTTCAGGGGGCACACACACACACACACACACACACACCACACACACAAACACACCACACACCATCCCTGTGGATCAGCAACTCTACCTCCATAGGGTCCTTCTCTCAGATGTGCATCAACCACTGTCAGCTATCAACTCCCTGCTACAGACATTTACATCTTAATGGAGCATCTGAAGGAACAAAAGGGGCTTCAAGACAGAAGTAATGAAGCTATACATTAAAATGATGACAGTGATGGGGCACCTGGCTGGTTCGGGGGTGGAACATGGGACTCTTGATCTCTGGGTTGTGAGTTTGAGTCCCACATTGGGCGTGGAGCTCACGAAGATAAAATAAAATAAATAAAATAAAATAGTGACAATGGAAGCAGTTGGTCTTTTGGAATCGTGGCCAGGGCATCTTGCAAAAGTGGACAGCTGTGGCTGAGCTTTGGAGACACAGGGGCCCTCTGGGTTCAGGTCCACCCCCCCCCACCCCCCGTCAGACCCAAAGCCTACAGAGCCAAACCCATTACTCTGGCTTCCTAGAGCCCAGAGTCCTGTGCTGGAAGGTTTCTGATTTCCTGCTGTAGCAGAATCTCTGACACTGCAGGGGGTCCCCCTGACTCAGCCTCAGGAAACCCCCATGAAGCAGAGGGCTCTGGAGGCATCAAGCGCTCTTAAGAGCCCCTGACCGCTGTTATCCCCACCACTAAATAACGTTAGGAATGCACATCTCAGAGCAGAAGTCTGGTCAAAACAAAGCCTTAATTATAATAAAGTGTCACACTCTGCAACATTAATAGCGATAAAAGTAGCAATTAAGTGTGTGAAGAAGGGCAAGTGTTTTCCCAACAGGCTTGGCAAAATGTTGCTTAGCACATTCCCAAGCAAGCTAATGGAGGAGCTCTCCCAGTTGCAGAGGCACACACAGACAGCCCTTACCCTTGTCAGGGAAGACATCAAGAAAGGTTGTGGGCACAAGGAGGGTACAGGACTACAGCACAGAGCTCTGGTCCTGACACATACTCATAAGCCCCAAGGAGTTTACGGGAGTGTGTATAATGCATGCCCTTCTGCATCCCCTTCCCTGAGTTTGGTTGCTTTGCTCCTAGCTGCACTCAGGTATTAAGACCCTTGCTGGGAATGGAGGGAAGAAGGCAGGAGGCCAGAGTGGCCTTGGTGGTAGGGGTATGGGGTGGGGAGGAGAAGCAGGCCAGTCCATCATGTGACCTACAGTAGACCTACAGAAGCACAGTGGCCACACTTACCCACCAAAGGTAGAAAGCCACCTGGGGTCAAAGCACATTGAAGGAGTTGTATCTTCAAGCTGACGTCACGACATGCAGGTACCTAATTGTTACACATAGCTGCTACATGTCATTCGGGCAAATTCAGTTGCACCAGTTTGGGGGTGTACTTTCCTGCTTCTTGTTTGGGACAGGGAGAGGGAAAGACTTCAGGGACAGAGGGGCCCGTAGGACAAAAAACCCAAAAAGGACAAGTTTGCTTGCAACCAATCCTGCCTGGACTTGGAATGGGCTGAGTTAAGACGTAGTGAGAACACTGTCAAGCTCAGAGCTCAAGACTTATACTCCCAGCCACACCTCTTGGGCAGGATGGTATAAGAGGGAGGCAGCATCTGATGAGATTCATCTGTGTGAGGCTCTCCTAGTTTTTTTGGCCTCAGAGGTCCCTTCTAAATGCTGCAGTGACACTATGGATCAAGAGCTGTGGTTCTTAGGAAGACTGTGCCCAGGGACAAAGGACAGTTGTGACCTGGGCAAAGCAGCGATTTACATCAGAACTTCAGAAACCTCTCCTCATCCCTGTGACCCTAGAATCTTCCCCTTTATCCATTGAAAATGTTGCAGGTCTCCAGCCCAATACTCTCTGAAAAGAAGTGACATGTACAGGACCAGAGCGGGCAAGTATGTTTTAGCAAGATGGGGGCTGGGTCAGCCAATGAATACTTACAGAATGAAACCAGATTTTTAAATTAAAAAGTTAGCTTTAACCATATGAAAGGATGTCTTCTTAGATTTAAAAAAAAATCAGTAGTTTATATGTTCAACATAATGTATTGGCATATACAAATGCAAATTCTTAGGAAAGGGCTGGAAAGATCAATCCGATGTGTGAACAGCATTACCTCCAGGAAGAGCATGGGGTTGAAAGGGAGGGGAGGTCAAGGGAAGCTTTTGTTTTCACTCTATCAAATTTGATATGTTTGAATATTTAATAAGAATGCACTAAGCATTGGTGTGCTGAGGATGCTGACCAGCTGTTCTTAATTTGCACTGAAGAAAGCCTTGTCAGAAAAGCTGTTAAAACACGTACAAACAAGACCACTCAGGAACGGGGTTGGGTAGCTCTGTCTGGCCGAGTCAGATGTGTGCTCAGAAGTGGGAGTATAATGCCGGTTACACAGCAGATTGAGGTACGGGATTGCTTCCCTAAGAGGGCCATCCACCTCTGAATGGAGGAGCTTCCCCAAACCTGAGCATACCCTCCTGCCTTTCCTCTGATGCCCCCCTCCCCCAGACTCTTCCCCTTGCACCACCAAGGGATGTGAAATGATTCCCTCCCTTCAGCTGTGCCACCATGGAGTCCAGTGGCTCTTTCTGTGGCTCTGCTTAGTGTGAGCATCTTCTTTTGACTGGCAGTAACTTTGGGGTGCCAGAGGCTCTGGCCAAGGTGGCCTTGCTTCACCAGGCCAGGGCTGTGTAGGAGCTGAGTATTGCTTTTACTTCAGGCCCACAGCTTTCCAGGGTGGCACAGCTGGGTTGCCAGCATGCTTGGGCCCAAGCAGAATGAGTCTGCAGACCTTTATTAAACAGGCATTGGTCACCACTTGCTTTGGATCCACGATGTCCACCAGGGGCTCCTTCATGGCAACATCCCGGATACAGGTCATATCAAAGCCATAGACATTCTCCCACCCTGTGAAAACAGAGTGAGACATGAGGGCCAGCAGCAGGACCCCCGGAAGTCTTCCCAGCCCTTCTAAGTGCTAGAGCACAGCATGCCCAAGAGGGTGAAGGGCAACCCATGTTCTCCTGCAATCAGAATAGAAGAATTGCTCATCTGGGTGGAAACCTCTGCAGGATGTACAGATCTCTTTAATGGTTAGGAAAACAAAAGTTCAGAGAGGCTGAGAAACTTCTCTAAGGTCACACAGGTAGAATGCCACAAGGTCAAGACTAGAATCCAGATTGCCTGACTCTTCCTGTGTCTACTTTCCTATCCCTCTCTCTGAGCCAGGAGAGCCTCCTACAAATCCCTATCTGCCATCCTCATTTGTATCTTGATGCCTTTGCTCAAGCCATTCTGCACACTCAGAAGACTTATCTCTCTACTTCTCCTGTCCCCACCCACTGAACCTTTAGCAAAGCAGAGAGAAACATGGGCTCTTAAAGTGAAATAGACTACTTTGCATCCCAGTACCATCCTTACTGGCCAGGCCCTTGTGTTAATTCCCTAAACTCTCTGAACCTCCATTTTTTCAACTGCAAAACAAGGGGGGAGGGTGTGTCTGTGAGAGCCTTTGCCTTTCTCACATGCCATGATGCACTCACTAAGAATCTATCCTATAAGAAATATAGGTTACCCAGCCATCCCAGTGGTGTTCGTTGGCCCCTGGTGGCTGCTCATAAGATGCTTTGAGAGGGAGAAGGATGTAGGGTACAGGGTTGGTGAGTAAATGAATGCACATCTGATGGCCCAAAACCATCCTTAAATGGTGGCACTCATTGCTACCGTTGATTGACCACCAAGCTCAGGCCAGACTCTTCATTTAATCTATGCAGCAACCTCCAGGGGATACTTCTACTGACAGCCAAGGAAACAGGCTGGGAGAAGTTGGTATCTGGCCCTTACACAGTATCTGGGTCAAGATCACATATCAAGGAGATGATGGAGCTAGGGCTCACTCCAGCTTGTCCCCTAACCCTTCAGGTACACAGACTCAGTTGTGAGAGCAACTGAGAATGCATTTTCCTCTCCCTGTACTGCAGAGGTGGCCTAAGCAGAGGCTTTAGTTACCGAGCAGCTGAATCTCATTTGTCTACTTATTCAGAGGAGTCTAGAAAAGCATCCAAGGAGGGATGCTTTTCTCTAAAATCTTATGGGATTAAATTTCCTTTTAAAATGTGCATCAAACAAATGGTACCTTTGGGAACTATGTTTCTATATGTTTAGGAGAGGGGGTGTGTGAGGGCGGAGGTGGGAACAGTCCGTGAAAGCTGTGCTTCTTTGACTCCTTTCTAAGGCACACAAAGATCTTCCTCAGGGAGAAGAGTCAGAGAAAATAATTATTTCCCAGAGGGTGAGCACTCGTGAAATTCTGGCTTGAGGATAAGATGCCAGTCATATACCATTAAATCACATGAGGTTGGTGCCAAATTCCCAGTTGAAACCTATGATTGAGAAGGAAGCCGCTCGGTTGGCAATGGGATGTGCTTCAGAGGAGATCCCCTTCTACAGTCTGGAAATAGCTATCAGTCCTCTCCCCAGATAAAATATATACACTAAACATGTTGCCTTCATTTAAAATCTTTCCTTAAGACACCTGCTACCATGTTCCTGCTCCTTCCTTCTCTCAGCCCTGCCTTCAGTTGAGGTTCAGGGCAAGTGTCAGGCAAATACCCAAGGGAGTCTATGTGTGTGATGGTTAAAGGCCTTGGCTTTGGATTTCAACTCTGGGCTCTGCCATTTATTTGTTGTGTAATGTTAGCAAAAATTCAGCTCTCAAAGAGTTGGTCTCTTCTTTAAAATAGAGATGATGATAACCACAGCTACTCTATTGTGTTGTCCTGAGGGTTAAATGTGATAATATAATGTAAAGTGCAGGAGGGGATGCTTGGCACATAGAGCAGCTGATACATAGTGATTGTTATCATTATGTGGTTTGAGCTTTGGCTTTGCCACCGTCTAAGCTGTACAACCAGTGAGAGATCCATCCTCTTCTCTGAGCTTGCTTGTAAAGTGAGTTTGGTTCAGTGGTTCTGTGCTCCAGAATCAACTGGGACACTTTTAAAATATAAATTCCTGGGCCTGAACCAGACTTACTGAATCAGAGTCCACAGATTTGGGATCCAGGAAGCGGGAATTTTACAAATCTTTGTAGGTAGGGGCGCCTGGGTGACTCAGTTGGTTAAGAGTCTGACTCTTGATTTCAGCTCAGGTCATGACCTCAGGGTCATGAGATCAGCCCCACATCAGGCTCTGCACTCAGTGGAGAGTCCACTTGGGATTCTCTCTCTCCCTCTCCCTCTGCCCCTCCCCCTTGCACATGCATGTGCATCCACATACTCTCTCAAATAAATAAATCTTTAAAAAGATATTTATAGGTAATTCCAACCAGAGAGTGAAAAGCTTTGTACTAGATGATCTTTAAAGCCCCTTATAGGGACACCTGGGTGGCTCCGTCAGTTAAGCACTGGACTTTTGGTCATGATCTTAGGGTCATGGGATCCAGCTCTGTACTTAGTGGGGAGTCTGCTTGAGATTCTCTCTCTCTCTCTGCCCCTCCCCCCACCGTGTGCACACGTTCTCTTTCTCATTCTCTCTCTCTCTCTCTCTCTCAAAAAAGAAGTCCCTTACAATCAAGAAATGGTGAGCTTAATATCTCATGCTTTTGTGAAACCTTTTCTAACCACTCTCAACCATGGGACTACTTCTTCTGTATCCTCAGCGCCTATAACCCAGCATTTAGCACAATACAAACACACAGATAATGCATTTGTAATTGAAATTCATTCCCAAATATTTAATGGTCTATACTGCTTTGCAATGTCCAGTATTTTAGTTACCTTTTCAGATTAATTAATTAATTTCAGTTAATTCATGTTTTTCTCCCTAGCTAGACTACCCTGGCTTCAGTTATTCAGGAGAAAATTCTCCCAGGACATTAATTTGTTTCCTCTTCTTTCTGCTAACCATTTATTTCCCACTAGCTCCTTTAACATCAGTGGAGCAGGGATGGGAGACAACACTAATCAAACAGATTAATGTTTCATTGCAACTCTGTCTTGTTTATTGACTGAGTGTATGTGGGGTGAGGGCCATTGGCTACCAGGAAATATTGTCATTAATTTTCTTATTTAAATTTAAACAATAGCATCAGAAGGACCTGTGAACTTTTGTTTACAGACTAAAAAACAAACTCTTGTCCCCAAAAAAGGAGAAAAGAAAATCCTAAAAAAAGGACTGCACTTTGGCATGATGAATGTAACTAAAGCAACAGCCAAACCCCAACCTATCATTATGACAGACTAGATCAACTCAAATCCCCACTTTAACAGCCTGGCAGAGGAAAAGGCATCCTCTTTTCTGGGCATAAATATAGTGCATCTGTCTCTACTGTTCTTTTATTGACATTGCCCAGCATTAAGAAAAAATTACAAGTTTAATGAAAGAGGAAAAAAAAATATGACCCATCATCAGAAGAAAATATAGTCAATAGAATCAGACTTAGAGGTAGCCCAGATGTTGGAATTATCCAATAGCGACTTTAAATTACCTGTAATAAATAAGTTAAAGAATCCAACGGAAAAACCTGCATGAACAGATGGAGAATTTCACTGGTGAAATGGAAACTATAAAAATGAGCCAATGGAAATGCTAGAAATGAAAATCACAGTATCAGGGATTAAGAATTCTTTCAATGTGCTTATTAACAGAATGCATACATCAGAAGAAATAATGAATAAACTTCAAAATAGGTCAATAAAAATTATGCAAACTTAAATACAAAGAGAGAAAAATACAGCACTTGAGATCCATGGGATAATATCAAACAGTATCTAATGTATGTGTAATCGGAGACCCCAAAGAAGAAGAGAAAGAGAATCAGTCAGGAAAAAATATTTGTAGAGATAATGGCTGGAAATTTTCCTGTATTAATGAAATCATTAATCCATAGATCCAAGAATACTGTAGAATCCCAAGTGGGAATATGTACAAAGGAAAACACATATAAACACATGAGAATCAACCTGATGAATATCAAAATAAAGAGAAAATCCTAAAAGCAGTTGCAGAAAAAGAAATATATGAATTACTAGAGAACCAACTTTATATTTCATTGGAGAGAGCTGGAGCTATATCCTCCTTCCCTACCCTGGCCATAGTTTCAGTTTTTCCACTGGGCAGATGGAATTGCCTCAAAATGGGCTCAGAGGGAAAAATAGAACAAGTGCCACGAGGTGCTACTTGCCATTTCTCCTCTAGACAGAAGAGAAGGTGTTTACAATAGTTTCATACATTTTAGTCTCTCAGGCCCAGAGACAACTCTTTGTATAAAATAGGAGAGGGCCCCCTGGGTGGCTCAGTTGGTTAAGCATCTGCTCAGGTCATGATCTCAGGGTCCTGAGATTAAGCCCCGTGTCAGGCTCCCTGCTCAGCGGGGAGTCTGCTTCTCCTTCTCTTTCTTCTTCTCCGCACTTCCCCGGTCTTGTGTGCTCTCTCTCAAATAAACAAATAAAATGGTAAAAAATAAAATAAGATAGGAGAGAGCCAGAGAATAGAACTCTGGATGTTTGGTGTGAAGGTGGAAAAGAGCCGAATGGAGAGGAACTGAGCCCTCCAAGAGGTCCTGCCTTTCCACCCTCCCTCAGGCTGCAAGCACCACTGACTCCATAGGAAGCCTTCCTTTTCAACTTCTCCTGTGCCAGGAAGCTGGTGCCCATACCTCTGACTCTTAGCAGGTTGGAAATTCATGTATTGGATAAGAAATCAAATAGAATATCTACCACATTTCCTTCTAGTTTTAAGATTCTATAAATCTCCTCTATAATAGAAATTTTTGAAAATGATTCTTCCTTTCTGGAGGTAAAATACTACACCTTGCGCTTTCTTCTACTGCTTATTTTTACTCCTTCATTTGTTCATTCATTCATTCATTCACTCAACAAGATATAATGGGCCTAGTACATGCCAATCATTTGCCTCTCTTTTTTCTGTGTTCTCTCCTAGTTGGTGAGCAAAATGAGGGCAACTTCTGTGTTTCACTCATTCTTGGTTTTCATGTTGCATGTGGTTGAGAACGTAAAGAAAAAAGGAGTGGGATGGAAGGGAGGGGAGAGGAGGGAGGAATGGGTGGTGGAAAGTAGGAGAGGGCCGGAAAGAGGCTGTTTTATAACAATTTACTTCATGAAAGAGTCTGGGCTTTTCTCAGTTTCCTGCCCCACTTTAAGATTTTTCTTTTTTGGCTAGTTCTTGAACCAACTGAAATTTGCTTACAATTGTTCCCTTAGCAACCAACAACCTTTATGCTTTACTTTTGATTTAGAACTCAGAGTAACCAAAATCTCTGTTTATTTGAAACAGATTTTAAAATGGGCTTGCTTCCTTTACTAAAAACAAAAATGGATCATTAAAAAATGTTTCAATAGAAAACTTCACAGTTTTTAAAATAAGTTTTACATGTATGTTTGATTTTTATTTTTTGGGTCTGGGGTTTTTTTGAATAGTAGACTGCAGAGAGTGAGAGAGAGAGAAAAGACGACTCCAGAGTAAACATTTCACAGGAAAAAAGGAGGCTAATTTAAATTTGTTTTTCTTTCCCAGAAGCTATGAAAATTGCAGTGGGCAGCATGAGATTAAATCACATGATCTCCAGTCCTGGAGATCCCTCTAGGATCTTCCCTCTAGCACTTCCCAGGGTCTGTGCAAGTCCTCTCCAGCTCCAGCTGGCTCACTACAACGTATATGCCACAGGTTCCCAAACACAGTCCAGAAAAAGGAGGAGGGTAAGGTATGTTTGCTTTTAAACCATGAGGAAGTTCCTTAAAGAGCTGTGCCCAGGGTCAGGGCTCAATAAATATTTACGCATAAGAATGAAGAATGCACCTGAAGGTTCTCCTCAAAAACACTATTTGGTATAGTTACACAGCAAGAACTTCAAAAGCAGCATTATAATGTAGCTCCAGGGAAAAATATGTCCTATTTATACATGCATTTGATCAATGTTCACTGTTGAGTTGTTTCTACAATCTACGGTGAGAGCACATCTGTCCTAGATTCTGAGCCACTGGAGGCCAACAAGCTTGGCAGTCAGGCTCACTTGCCAGAACTACAAACAGAAAGGGACATGTTCAGAGCATAGATCAGTCTGGTGCCACGTACCACCAAGAGCCATCACATCCTTTGATATACCTCATCTCACCTAATCCTCACAACTAGTCTATGGGATTGATGATACTGTCTGTGAGGCCAAAGAGGTTAGGTAATTTGCTTCCAGTCATTCAGGTAGGCTTTGAACCCAGGGCCGGCACATGATCATTTAATGGAGGCCACCCTCCCTCTCATTGCTTAACGAATTTTAGAAATGACACCAGATTGACTGGTGGCATAACTGTCCCATTTCTGTGTTCTGAATCTGACTCTGAACTTTGTGCTTTGATGTTGTATTTCCAGAAGGGAATGAACACACAAACAAATGTATACATTCCATAGTGCAGTCCAGCTGAGGTTGCACTAGCAATAATTAGATGGCAGTTGTGTGAATAATGGAGCAACAATTTGTCAAACTACTGAGTCTCAGCCTCTCAGGGCAGAAGTCACTGATCATCCTCAGTCTGTGAATCCCTCCACAGTGATCTTGCCCAGGAAGGTTTGACTACTGCAGGGGCAGGAACCCCAAATCTGCTGACCCCTTTGCATCATGTGAAGTTTCTGCATCATACTTTGGGTTGGATTGTGTATGTGCTTGCCTGTATGAGGGGTCCTTTGCTCCTTTGAAGTGTTTAGTTCTGGTTGAGGAGACATGGATGTTTCTAAGTGACAAAAATGCATTTGGAATAAGCTTGAGGACCTAGTTTGTGTCACTGAGAAATGCTGTTCTCTAAATTAAAAAGAACAAAGCATCCTTTTCAGACCAGATAAAACATTGGAGATGGTGTTTGTTCGTTCGTTTGTTTGTTTGTTTGTTTGGCTGTTTTTTTCCCCTAAAAGAACAAGTTTTCATCTGATTGAACAGTATGAATCTAGGTTCGGATATGAGTCCCTGATATGAGTCCCTGACACACACCACACAAACACATGCATGTACATGTGTGCACATATATGCATGCGCAAAGTCTCCTCACCCCCACTGCCATCCATTCCTCCAAAATAACCTCAAAAAAGAATATATATTTTACGTAACATGAAGAAGAGTCACTGTTATTTTGATAAAATCAAGTAGCATGAAGTAGCGGGATTCAGAATGGTCAACCTGGCTAGCGATCTGCCATTTCTGACACCTGTTGTGGACTTTTGGGATAACTGAACCTCCACAGGCTCCCAGCCCCCTGGCCTGATGTTCTCTACAAAAATTAGCTTCTGCTGTTTCAGTCATTTTTCATTCACATTGCATTCATTCTCTCACTCCAGCATATGTCTCTTACATCAACCTCATTGCTTATTTTCTCTCTGTAGACCTCCCACTTTTGGGGACTAGAAGAAAACACATAGAGAGAATAATCCAGAATAAGTCACAGGTAAACTCCTCCATTGGCATAGCAGCTGTGTTCATGAGACTGGATGCTCACCTCAGGGCCACTGTAGTACTTCCCACCACAAACATGAAAAAGAAAAAAAATGCCCAACAAAAAGAAAAAAATGCCCAACAAAAACTTAAAAGGTGACTTACAGTGGATTTTGAAGTCCTTGTACTGTCTGTCTTCAATTGCTACCACGTACAAAGCTGCCCGGTCTGGAAACATAAGCCCTCCAGGTTTCTGTTGATGAATTGTGGGGAAATGGGTCTCGTAATCTATTCACCTGACAAAGACATTACATTTTGAACTGCACATAGAGTCACCAGACAGGCATCCCCTTGCCAGCATTTCTCATTCAGCAGACTGTCACCTTGGCCAGGGTTAGGGTTAAGATGGTAATGCTCAATTTTTACTTGGGAGCAGGGAGAGTTTGAGGGACCTATGTGGAGATGATAGAACAAATGTACTGGGGCAAAACTAAGTTCAGTAAGCATAAGTAAAAGGTGTCATGACCCTTTAGCCTGGAGAAGCCAAGATCAGAAGCATGCTTGGCTCTCTGGCAGCTAACCAAGTCCTAGGTACCTGTTGACCAGAATAGATTTCTGTCTTGACAACAGAGAATGGGTGTAGATTATAACCAAAGAGGCCAAGATTTGACCTACAGAGTAATGTGGGAGACATGTTGGACCTGGGTACCATCATTCTGTCCCCTGAAGCAAATCTAGTTTAAGGAGAGGGGTCTGGAGAAGGTGACCTTCTAGCCTAACCCTCCTCTGGAATCATCATCTTCTTCCTAAACTGTTGGCCAGGAGTATAGCAGCAGGACAGCCAGCAGACCAACAATGGGGCAGCATGCAGGACACTTACCAGCCACTTGTCCCTGGCAAAGATCACCGTGTTGAGCATTGACTCATAGAACAGACAGTAGCCCATCCACTCGCTGATGATGATGTCTACCTTCTCCACAGGCAGCTCCACCTCTTCTACTTTACCCTTAAATATGGTGATGACTGGAAAATAAGAACCCCATGGCCACACTTTGCAGGGACCCTAGCCTGAAACCATGAGCACCCCACCTCAGGGCCAGACCTACAGGTTTTAGCCCTGTTCTGATTCTGCTTTTAGGATGTGACATACCTCACCCTTCACCAAGCTAACTATACAAAGAGAACTGTGAACTACTTGCATGTTTTCTCCCTAAAATGTACTGGGCAGTGACTATGTTCTGGCCCTGTGCCAAGCCTGTGATATGTACCATATCATGTGATCTTCCCAGCAACTCCATGAAGTACATTATTATTATTCTCATTTAGAACTGACGCTTAAAGGGATTGAATGATGGGTTTCGAAGTAGAGACCTGCTCTGATATGCTATGACTCTAACACTCTGATCATGGTCCCCAACCCATTTTAGGGCACCGTGATGGCTCAGATCCAAAGGGCAAGGAAGCCTCTTGTTCTTGCATTTGTTCACATCCAGAGCTCATTCCCCAGTAGGTCCATAAGGATGGTAATTTGGTGTCTTGATAAGAGCATGGGCTTGGTAGTCAGGGGTTTAAGTCCTGATCTGCTCATTGTTAACTATATGACTTTGCACAAGTTACTTGATCTACTGAACTCCAATTCCCCACAGAACCAGGGAAAGTAGTATCTACTTAATGGGTAGTTGAACTGATAACAATGAAATAGCAAATGTGAAGTGCCAGGCTTATAGCCGAGGCTCAAAAGAAGGTAGACATCACCTTGCTGACCAGCTGATGGAGATGTGAGGGGATAAGGCCAGAACCCTTAGTGGCCTTTGCTTATAAGTCACTTCCAAGACCTTTCTATCCCTCCATGGCAGGAGAAACTTCTTAGTTGGGTTTTTGATCATTTGACATAGTCATACACATAATTTTGGAGTCTCTTTTTGCATTCGTTGCTACAAAGATCATAGCAAGCACTATCTTAGATGCTGCTGTGAAATTGACAAGGTGATGTATTGGTTGGCTGATTCTATCTGAGCATTTCCTCTGAAAGGATACACATATTCATGCTCTGAAATTCTCTTTCTGCACCATCTTCTGAAAAATCACACCATGCCTGAGCTTTGCTGGGAAAATTGAACAATAGCTTGTACTCAGGAGTGAAAAACAAACAAACAAAAGCATGTACAAACAAAGAGAACACATCTGTCCTGAAACTGAGCTTCACAAAAATTCATTCATGTTAGAGGCTCCTGGATGACAAAGGACACACAGGTCACTGGTTTTGTTTCATGTCTTCACATTGGATAATACAGGTGATGAAGTGTCCATTAGCAGCCTCTAACGATGACTTGCTCTCCAATATCTGGCGTTTAATTAAGTCTTAATCAGGTAAGGTCTCCTCCGTAAGCAGTCAGACACTTTGCAAATGCACAGTAGTCCTGATCACTCTAGAGTGAAGCCCAGGCTTGTGCGGCCTTCCTGGCTCCTACTCATGAGCCCTACGCCTAAGTGGTAAGAACAGGAAGGCCTAGTCTTCTCTAAAAGGTTCTGAAGGGGTGGGAGGAGTAGGTCTCAAACCTCTGCTCCTCTGGAAGTTCTACAACCCAACAGCAGGAACTCAAACTAGAGCAGGGCCCAAGATGAACCAAGAGGATTCATAAGGGGACAAAGTAAGGAATTTTTGAAAATGCTGAGAGTGCCCAACTTATTTCTCATTCTGAAAAAGAACTGACAAATACATGCCTGACCCACCTGCCTCATTATTTGAGTGCAAAGCTTGGTTTGTCTTACTTTTACAAATATTTATTGTTGCTGAAGAATAACTGACATATCATATTATATTAATTTCATGTGCACAACACAGTGATTTGACATTGTACATGAACACTGCAAACTGATCATCAGGATAAGTCTAGTTACCATCTGTCAGCATACAAAGTTGATACAAATTATTGACTATATTCCTCATGCAGCACATTATTACATCCACACAACTTATTTATATTATAACTGGAAGTTTGTACCTCTTAATCTCCTTCACTCATTCCCCACAACCCACCTCTGGCAACCACCAATCTGTTCTCTGTATCTATGAGTCTGGGTTTGCTTTGGTTTGGTTTTATAGATTCCACTTCTCAGTGAAATTATGCAGTATTTATCTTTCTCTGTCTGACTTCTTTCATTTATTGTGATGCTCTCAAGGTGGCCTCCCTTTCTTCTTTCTTTGCACATTTCTTTTATAAAAAAAAGATTTTATTAGAGAGAGAGAAAGAGAGTAGGAGCAGGGGCAGAGGGAGAGGGAGAAGCAATTCCGGCTGAGCAGAGAGCCTGATGTGGGGCTTGAATCCAGGACCTTGGGATCACGACCTGAGTGAAAGGCAGATGCTTAACCAACTGACCCACTCAGGTGCCCTGCTTTGCACATTTATTGAAAGCTTTCCCTAATGTCTGCATGTGTCTATGCGGCTATAGGTCTGCTCCATCTCCTGCATTAGATCATGACCTCTATGTGGCTCAGAAGATGTGTTCTACCCGGGGTGCCCCCCAGTCTCCACTCTGGGTGACTAGTATATGATTCACCAGGGATGATTCCATGGATAGGACTCTAGTAGGAATTCAAGAAGCAGAGATGAACAAGAACTTATAGTTTAGTCTCACAGATGAGAATATTCCTGGGGTGTCCCCAGCATGAATGAATGCTATCCCTGTTCTCTGCAGTAGCACTTTATGTATTAGTTGCTATATCCTGAACACTATGGGCCCAACAGATGATAGGTAGATAGATGAGAGAGATACACACAGTGAGTCATAGAAAGACAGAAGGAATCAATTAAATCTATTTTAAAAAGATCAACAGTCTGTGCCTCTGTTGATTTAACATCAACCTTCTGCATCCAAACATTTCTTGGAGCAGATGTAGCTCTTGCTTCGTTTGGTGAGTAGATTGGCCCTTTGAGAAAGGAAAAAAGGCAGGCCTCCCCTCAGTCCAGCTGTGGACTGGATCTCAGACCCCACTCATCCCCTCGCTCAGGTGCTTCTGTACAATGCTCAATTTTCACAACCTTATGCTGGTGCTTTAGAGGCAGACAACTTCTGTTTTTGTTCCAGCTGACAACAAACCTTGATCAAACATTTCTTCCCTTTGGGAACTCAGTTTCCTTATTGTGGGGGGAAAAAAGGAGGGGGAGTAAACCTAAAAATCCCAAAGATGCTCTGCAGTATCAAAATGATTTAATTCTCAAAATATTATATTGAGAATGTAAAAGGCATTCTGCAAAGTTTACTGGTAGAAGTAGCTGACAGCAGTAAAGAACCAGTGCCTGCAATGTGCAGTTTGACTCTAATTTGCACCAATTCCTTGAGGCTGACAAAAAAAAAAAAAAAAAAAAAAAAAAAGAGGCCACGTTGTTTCCATGGACCCAAATATAATTGCCCATCTGAATCATCAGGGATATTCTTCCTGTTTTCTATAGTCACCACCAGCAACCACTTAAGCTCCCAGATTCAATTTCCCAATCTGCAAAATGCTACCTCTTGTGGTGGGCTTTATAGCAACCAACTGGGGGGTATTGGCCAGTGCAATGCAATGGGTTGGCTCCAAGAACTGTGTGGGCATCTGAACCTTCTCCACTTCAAGCCTTTTCAAGGGCATCCTAGCCACTCAGATACTAGATACTCAGATTCTAAGCAGCTATGGGCAGTAGAACTCTACTCCCAATCCAGACCCCACAACACTAACGCTGTGTCAGCTCAAGGCTGCTTTGAGGTCACTCTTTGAAGCTATGTTTTTATTCGATAGAGATGATGGAAAGTTTGTTCAGGTAACAGGACTTTGGCTTACCAATATTGGAATGACTAATCACAACAAAGTGCACGATAAGGAGCAAATACGCTCTAAACTCTAAATTGGGAGATTTTTCCTCCGTAATTTCAAGTTTGCAAATTAGACATCCAGACTTTTTTCTTTCTTGGATTTGTTTTCCTTTTATCTTGAGTGTTTATTACAGAAAGCTAGCCAATCTGACTCTCTAAGGTTATTTGTCTGACTTAACACAACAACAAATCGGGCCAGCCTGATGTCATCTGGGCCTCCAGCATGTCCATCAGCGTCAACCCCCCGCCCCCAAAGGTCCAAAGTTAGTGGTCCAGTTTAGACTCTTCTGTTCCCCAGAGCAGATTCTGTGCCACAGAGCAGTGGGCATGAGGGTCATGAGTGCGAGGCAGGGAGCACATTCTGAGTAGTAGAGCCTCTCTGATGCCATCCCCACCGCAGCATGGCCACTAGCCACCCCTTTGCCAAGCTGTTCACAAGCCTATTTTGGCAACACCCACACCATTGCCACACACCTTCCAAGGGCCTGACTTGCCTCCAGGCTATGGTCTCCTCTTCTTAATTGTCTGTTCTAGCTTCCCATTTCCAGGACCTAGCAGAGCACTTGACTCCTCACAAACATTCAAAAATCATTGTTGAATGAATGAATGGGTGAATAAGCAATTTTGAAAAAAAAAAGAAAAGGGTATTTGGGTTCAAAGACAAAAGATCCTCAAACTTGTCCTAATTATGATAGCAAAAAATTACTAGCATTTGAATAGCAGCTTGCAGAGTGATCTTACTTATATTATCTCTGTAACCCTCACAAGAACCTGTGTGGTTGGTTTTATTATTCCATCTGCCTAATGAGAAAACTGGAGTTTAGAGAAATCGAAAGGTAGAGCCAAAAGCTAGGCCTGTTGTATAACCTGATACAAGTCACCTGCCTCCCAGAAATTCCCCTTCCTTCATCTGCCAGTGGATATAATACCTGACTTACCTACCTTGTGGGATTATTATATAATAATTCCCAATAATAATTATTGGGAATAATTATTATTATTCCCAAGCAACTGCCTGGGAATGATGGGGGAAAAGAAATCAGGGAAGGCCAAGGACTGACCCATCCTTCTCCTGAGGCTGGTCAGGTTGTTAGTAGGCTGAGGAGATGTAGAGCATCATGAGCCATCAGGGTGGCAGAGAAGGAACCCATCCCCCTCCCTGGTATTGG